AGAAAAATTCAGTAAACCTGGTTGTAACAATACTGGGCGTGGTGCATACCTGCCAACGTGTCAACTTGTCGTTGGTATGCTAAACAGTTTTTGAACATTATTTTCGAGTTTAATTTTTTTTTTTTTTTAAATTCATCCTACATATCCATTGTTTCCGTCCTTTTGTTCATTTGTATGTGTCGATCCACTTCAATTTTTCTTACGTATTTCGATTTGCTCTGTACACGTTGTTTGGTGCTAGGTTTATGGTCCGAGTAATGCATTAAAAGTTTTTGAAAAAATTATAAGCTTTTACTATAAAAAAAAAATTTATATTTTAAGATTTTTTACAATTGTTATCACTTGATCAACACCTCAAGGCTTTGACTGACAAAAATCGACAATTTAAAAAAATGTCATTGGATAATTCTTTGCCTCTCAGGACGCCCCGAATTTTTTGCAAAATATTTTATTTTAAGAACGTGTCAACATGAGATCGAACATGCCATTTTTTACACTGACAATGAATAATTTTCCCTACTAAATTCGTTAATGTTAAAATTTGTTCGTAATTTCTAGAACAATCGTGTTCAGCAGGTAAAAATAAGTGAGAAAATTCGCCCAAGTTCATTCAAGTTGAAAACACTACGGCCAATCCTTTGGCTCGTGGACTCACATTTTTTTTTTTTTTTTTTACGTAAGCGTATGTGCGTACTTGTTTACTTGGTTATACTCTCTCGATTCATAGGTATTCAGGACTCAGGACTGAGCCACCAAACGAAAGATGCCAACTTTTGCAACAGCCATAGCGGCCGTGGGTCTGCTGTGCTTCGCAGCGCAGGCAGTCAAAGTGCAGAATTTCACTTACGAATACATCGAGGATTTAGGGTTCATCAATTACGCAATATCTCGAAATATCAAGAAAAACCTCGCGTACATGACCAGATACAGCACAAAAGAGGCCCAGACGGGCGACCTGCAGTTCACGCTGAAGATAATGAATGGCACCGAAAATCACCGAATCGTGAACATAATAGTACCTAACACTCGCAACATTATTTGCAAAAGCGAAATCAAACTACTTTACACCGACGTGTTGGAGAATACGATCGTGATTGTATGGGAATCAAATTGTTACGAAGAACGGCTCGGATGGGTCAGTCTCGTCGACGAGGAAAGCCTCGACATCGTCCACAAGAAACACGTACTCGAGGAGGATGGGATGTTTCTTGTCCTTGTCGATCGCTTCGGTGTGAGCGTATGCATGAGTAGCAAGGTGATGTGCGGCGAGCAGCCAAATTCGTGTATGATCCGTTTCAACCGCACAGGTAATAACAAATTCATATTCCGGTAAAAGTACGGTAATCTGCATGACCCTTTGATTATTTTCAGGTGGCGAAGTCTCCAAGTTCGTCCAGTTTCGCTCGAAGAATTACGCAGTAGCCATGGTAGTGGACGAACTCGATCCGAAGAGTGGCTGGTACTTTGTTGATTTGGTCGAAAGTATAAGTTTCATGAAAACCATGATCATCAGTCATGTGAGCTACAACGGCTCCGAGACCGTGTTGGCCAGTCAGTACAGATACGAAACTGGTAACCGAAACTCTTTAAGTGTTTCGAATGACAACGGGTACTTAACGCTATGCCACGAGGCCAACGTATTTATGGATGATCCGCAGACGTGTATGCAATTGGCCTTGAATGGCAAAGTGGACGTCATCCCGTTCAGCTTTCAATTGCACAAGTGGATGCACAAGATATTCAACCAGCGCCAGGGTGGCATCATTGTCATATACTGCAAGAACGAGTGGATATTTTGCTTCAGATCTCCGGTCTGGGTGCAGTGGCTAACTACAAACGGGACGGTGTCGAGGGAGGTCGAGCTCGCCGGAGTCGAGTTGAATGGGTTGTATAAGGAGTTCATGTTTTCCAGTGTCAACTACTTGGAGACGGACACTGAGCATTGTTTTTACATTGCTCACTCATTCCAGTCGGATGCCAACTCAAAAACCAGAATCAAGTACTTCAACAAGTGCATTGACAAATGAGAGTTCGATATTTACTCTTTCTAGTACTCGTTACGAGAGTTTTAAAAATATTATTGCTATTGGTTGATTTTGCTGAATAAAAAATAGATGAGGTTCATTGCTTTTCAAATTGATTAATTGTTTTCATGGGTTGCATGGTGGTGGCATGTAAAAAATAAAAAAAAATATGTATCAAGAGAATATAATATAAGGACTATCTCGAAAAGTTTATTCGTACCCTAATCTGAACCTACGAATTCTCGAAATCCTAGATCCAACATTTAGAATAATGTGTGATTAAATTGATTTTTACTCGATGAGAAAAGGACTGATGCAGTACAAAAAACGGTCAATTTGTGTGTTGGAAAAAAAAGCCTATTTAAGATCCTTAATTTTACTGTCTCAAATATTATTAGTAACATATAAAAAGTTAAGCAATAGGATGGAAGTTTTTTAATTTTTTCAAGACGTGTTTTCTCTTGATTACTTAGCTCATAGTCTCTATAAATGACTCTAGTTTATTTCCTTAGAGCAGACGTACAGACATATTTTATCTTTCGATTTTAATCAAAATTTTTTTGTTATTTTGAATACAGAAGCGTCACAGTGGAATTTACGTTAAATGTTCAAAGCTCAAGCGTGATTTAATACAGTTTTCTTCAAGTAGTAAAGTGACAATTCGTTTATCATATAATAACATTGTTCAATAGAACCAACATCACCAAATATAAACAAGTTTAAATTGTGGTTCTTTTGTACTTACAAAACAATTTGAACATCAAATTATCAGAGCGATAAACCGTATCTCACACCTACCAAAGAAAAATTGATCATGTACTCGCGTATCAGCAAAAACAAACCCGCTCACTTCCACATCTAAAACTCACCCTTTCAAAAATAACCGACTTATTCAAATAATTATAGAGCCTAGCAAGCTGCTGCTGCTGTCTGTGTGACCTTAACGAACAAATGTACAAATAATGGTCCCTGCCGAGAGATAAAGGGCTAAAGTCGTTTTTATTTATCTATGGCGTGCGTGAAGTGGTATCGCCACTCGAGAAGAGAAGAACCCCCATTTATGGGTGTATACAGGACGAGTTTGCTCAAAAAAAAAAAAAAAAAAAAGGGGAAGCGTGCAAGGGGCGCGACTCTTCTGAAACTCGAAGCGACATAATCGTTGACATCAGACCGCGCTTCTTTTATACGTGGGGTGTGTGCAGTGTATTAAATCCATTGTTGTAGTTTGGCGCCTAATATCACACTGTTGTTGTTCATAGCGTATACCTATGTACGTCGGGTAGCCCGGGATTTGCGTTTATGGAAATTAGTTGTCGCTCACGACTGGCCCTATTAGTTATGCCTTCGTGACATGACGGGTGTGGTGGGCTTGAATTTTGATTTCTTATGTTGAAAGCTTTTTATCGATTGAAAATACAATTTTTTCTAAAAATGTGTTAAGTAACAAAAAACCGAAGTGTAGGTCTGACCCTTGGAAGAAGTGAAACTTGAAAATGGTGTGTTACTCTAAACATAATATTATGAAAATGGAGTAATAAAAGAGTTACTAATGTAAGGATTTTTTCATTAAACGAAAAATTTCTGTATTAAAAAAAAAAATTGTATTATTTTTTTACTAGTAGTCTTTCAAAAAAAAAAATTTTTACACAAGTATTTATATTCCATGTATTCCAATATTTGAGAAAAATGTATGTTTGTGCGTGCGAGCGAGTGTACTTATGTAGATGTTTCTATGTGTACTTTATCAGTTGTATCTCAGGAATTTCATATCTTTTAATTATCCAAGACTTTAAGTCACTGGTCCATTTTTAAAAAGCAACAAATTTTTATAATTTTCAATAATTAATATACATAAGTTCAAATATTTTGTATACATGAGGTTCAGTAAATACTGAGTTTACACAGGTGAATTATACTTATGGGAAGAGAAAAATTATATAGCCGATGTAAAACCACACATAAGTATGACTTTTCATGCGTATGGACGCATTTAAAAATAGCTAACCACTTGTTGTGGCATAAGCGTATCTCATCCATAGACACGTAAAAATAGAGACCCAACATACCTAGGTCAAAAATTAAAAAGAAAGATACTGCTTTGGGGGATTCATTGTAATTAGCCACACTAGTCGTACGCCACATTTATGTATGGATTAGAGAGAAAGAAAGCGCTGATCTTATCAAATCAATCTTTCTCTTAGTTTCCGGCCACCAGCCGATGCTTATGTTCGATATATACTTTTATGTATATCCATGATCTCATCAAGTGGTATGACAGAATTTTAAAAAATGGCTTTCAAATATTTTTGTATTCGACATTATCTAGAATTGTTTATACTTCTCACGTATATTCACATGAAGTGAAAAAAATTTTTTTTAATTTTTCATAGTGTCTTAAAAAGTGACTAGTATATACCTCACACTTGTAAAAAATGTCTATTAAAAAGCCATTAATGATTTATCAGTAACTCGCTTGTAATGACTAGGTGAATATTAAATTGTAAAAGTATTCGCTGTTTGCCAGTTGCCACGCACAGACGGTGTACAAGCTTTTACACAGGATATTATAAAAATTTGTTGCTTGAATTTCTGTTGCTACGTATAGGTTAATAAGTATCAGTTACGTGCGTTAAGGTAAAAACAAAATTGTAATAACCTAAGATGCAACTATTTCTCAACGAGCAGTGAACTTGGCAGTCCAAAGGTAAGAGTTTTCAGTTTCAAATTACATTTTTACTGTGATCCATTAGATTCTTTAACTCTAAGGTCCTAGATAAAAATCTAAATATCTTATTATTCATAAACAGCGAAAAATTGATCAAATCAGTGAGTCCTGCCGCGAATTCAACACTAGTGTATTCCATCATATCACTTGACCACTTCATGAATCGAGAACAACGATAAGGAAAGAAGATATTGAAAATATACAAGAAAAAACCCAGATATTTTACAATTCCACAGTAAATCAGTGCAAAAATGGACGACTGTCAGCAGCAAGAGCAGCACACACCTCATAATTCCGAAAAAACTATTCCCTCTTGCAGTAATTTTGTCCAACCAGGGGAGAAGCCCCACAAGTGCCTAGTGTGCTCGCAAGCTTTCAGCTGCAAGAGTTACCTCGCAAAACACAAACGGATCCACCCAAGAGAAGAGCAATTTTGTTGCTCTATATGCTCCAAAAGTTTCACCCGACAGTGCTATCTTATCTCTCATGAGCGCACCCATACTGACAAGAGGCTTTTCCACTGCTTCATATGCTCTAAAAGTTTTTCTAAAAAATGTAATCTCACAACTCATGAGCGTACCCACACAGGGGAAAAGCCCTTCCACTGCTCCAGGTGCTCTAGAAATTTCAGCCAAAAGTGTCACCTCAGGACTCACGAGCGCACCCATACTGGCGAGAAGCCCTTTCATTGCTCCAAGTGCTCTAAAAGCTTCTCCAAGAAGAATAATCTTACAACTCATGAGCGTACCCACACAGGGGAAAAGCCCTTCCACTGCTCCAGATGCTCCAACAGTTATTCCAAAAAATGCTCTCTCGAAGCACACGAGCGCACTCACACAGGAGAGAAGGCCTTCCATTGTTCCAAGTGCTCCAAAAAATTTACCAGAAAATATAATCTCGTACATCATGATCGTACGCACACGGGGGAGAAGCCCTTCTCCTGTTCTGTGTGCTTCAAAAATTTTACCCAAAATTCTCATTTAATATCTCATGAGCGCACCCACACAGGCGAGAAGCCATTTCACTGCTCCAAGTGCTCTACATCTTTTTTTAGAAAACATCATCTTATTTCGCACGAGCGCACCCACACGGGGGAAAAACCATTCCCCTGTTCCAAATGCACCAAAAAATTTTCCAGAAGAGATTATGTCACAGCCCACGAGCGTACCCACAAAAAGGAGAAGCCCTTCCACTACTCCAGTTGCTCTAATAGAGTGTCCAGGGAAGGTACTCCTACATTACATGAGAGCACCAATACCGAGGGGAAGCCTTTCAATTGCTCCAGATGCTCTAAAAACTTTTCCAGAAAATATTATCTCATAACGCATGAGTGCACCCACATAGAGGATAAGCTAAACAGTGGTCCGGCGAACTCTCAGGCCATCAGTGTACTCAAGTCTGATCTGCCGAGGCATGTACCAACTTATGAACCAAGCCATGAACTTCCATCTTCTTCACAAACTTCTGGTCATTCGGCGAAGTTTATAGACAACTGCATGGCCGAGAAGGTGTTTCAGTGCTTCATGTGCCAAAAGAACTTTGCGGAAAGACGTCACTGGGAGATACATTCGTATCAATGTTGTTAGTGCGGCGAAAAAAGAATTACCATTACTTTTTTTAAACCTGCTTTTACAAGTATAACTTACGAAATTGAAATTAATTTAAAGTAAACTTTTTTATGTTATTAAGGAGGAAGTTTTTTTTTTTTTTATAAGTAATTATTCTGTATCAAATATGATTGAAAATATAAATGATTTTGTAAGCACTGGCAACTATAAAGCCAGTGTGATTTTTGTATAATTTGAAAAATAGTAAAGTTTTATGCGATTATGACTTTAAAATTGTATTCCTTCGTATCAACGATAATTCACGCATTTAAGTATGAATCGTGTATTTTCATACAATTGTTTTTTTTTATGCACAAGTTTTTGAACAGTTCATTTAAATTATTTTCATTAACTGGAAATTAAAATTCAATTATATTAGTAGATTAATTTTTTTTTATTTTTTACCTATAGATCGAAAATGATTAATGTATTTCAAAGTATTACCTTCTTTATTTCAATTAATAAGGTGCAATCACTCGGATGCATTAAGATTGTTCAGTCTCTTAAAATTAATAAAAAAAATTCATCTACTCCTATACTTTAAAACAGCTCATGAAATCTACTAATGGCAAAGGTTTTAAATTTTTTGAATAAGCAATTCATGAAAAAAAGCAGAAAATTAGAGTCTAAGAAAGCTTTGCACAAATTAATTAGCAGCGATTTTTTTGTTGCATTTAGTGATTAATTAATTTTAAAAATTAGCAGACACATATACGGTAGTACATATTTTACAGCAACATAACTTTTTTTTTTTTTACAAGTCAAGTATCACATTTTGAACAATGAAATTATGAAAATTTGGAACTTAATTAAGCTTTAACAAGGTTCTAGTGAAAACTAATTATACAGATAAGATGTTCGGTAGTTGACTATGTTAAGTCACATTGAAGCTTTTTCAAAATTGGCAGAGCTACATTTATTAATGATGTCTAATAATTTATTTTTTGTAGTAAAGTTAATTAATTTGAATAAAACTGAACGACCGGTTGTCATATGACTGAAGGTTTTTCATGCGATCGATCGGATTACTGATTTCCCTGCTTATTTTAAATACATGAAAATGTGGCAGCAATGTGGTATAAAAATGATCTAAAGTAATAATAGGAAAGAGTAACTCCCTAGGAACTTCCACTTGCTCGTTTTTTGATAACTTCAACATTATTTAGGGTTTACATCAACAATAAAATACCACTTGGTTTTTCTCGAGCAAAAAGCAAGTGGTGTTTTATTGTTGATGTAAACCTTAAACAATGATAAAGTAATAATAGTTTGACCTTTAAAAATAAGTACCCGTATAAAAATGTATTTATTTGAAGCGAATGTAAAATTCTACTCATGATAAACATAGAATAGTTCGTAAATTATTATTGTATTTTATAATTTTATACTACGTCTCTTGTACGGCATATACGTTTTTAATTAAAAAAAAAAAGTTGTTTTTGTATGATTGTTAATGTATTTACTTCAAAGTATAAAATTATTCTGAAGAGGGTATAAAAATAAAATTACAATGATTTATTGAGATCACGCAAAACGTCTCGAACATAACTAATCATGAAAAACTTTCAATCATTGCGTGACGAAAATTTTTTGAGTAATTAAATTAGTTAAAATCAAGTGCTAGTCATCTATTTCATAAAAGCATTTATATTATAATTTTTCTATAANGTCACAAACCATTTTCATTTTATTACAAGGAGATAAGTAATATTAATATATTTAATTTATTTATTCTTACTATATTATCTCATTATTGTCTCTTGTCATGCATGTGCATGTTCTCAAACTTGACTTAAATCTATGGATGTATATGCTCATTGTTTTACAGACCTGGTTGTTCTCATATCATTAATAATAAATAATAATAACAATATTAAGTAAGGTTGACCACTTGTTCTAATTCTTGGATTATCAAAATCGTCAATACATTTATTATGAAATAAACGGCTCAGCATAAAGTTAAAAGTGAACATAACTTCTACACGAATAATAAAGGATAAAATTACAAAACACAAAAAAAAACAATAAACACGTTTACAAGAGCGCAATAAAAAAATACTCTCAGTGGCAGCCGTTGAAAATTATTTTTTTTAATTTACCCCTAATTTCGCGCGTGAAAGAATACGCTACATTCAAGTACATCAACACCAAACTGCCTTACCCTAACCCGCACACAGAGACCCTCATGCCAAAAAACCCGCGTACCAGATGCAGCATCGCAAGATGCATTTTCCTGCGTACAAATCTACGGCCCCTTTTTTTTTTATCTCCAAACCCCTATCATGTCTCGACTCTAAAGTACAACATTTTATAGACTGTGCCTAACTCGAGGAAGCAGATATGCAGTAAAAACTCTCTGACGTGCTTTCGTGTGCTCTACAGTGTGTCACAACGATCCAATGAACCCTTACGAAAAATAATGACCTCCTGCACTCGGCTCGACGTCATCGATGATGATGATACTTCGAAAATGTCGTAAACTACCGCATGAGCTTTGAGTCATGCGTGCCCCTTTTTTAATATTTTTATGTGCGCGCGTTGTTCGAGGTGCACACCTTGATTTTTGCCGTCTAGATACCTTTTTTTTCGGGACAGGAAGGGGAGAATGTAGTTTCGTAAATTTGACGATTTGAGGGCTAGGGTGATCAATTTTATTTTTTTTCTTTTTTTTTTTTGTGCAAAGTCAAGGAGAGGCACGAGTGTCAGTTATTGAAGGTCTCGTATGTTACAACGCCGAACAATGGGATTGACAGTTTTCTTGGAAATAATGGAGAGATGGGGTGTGTAACGACACGTGTCAGCTGTCACGTGGGGCTTTCATAGGGGGTAGTCGATTTTGTTGCTACTGAATTTCGGATTTTTGGCGCCTTGTTGCCAAAATCCGTATTTTAGACAATTTTATGATTTATCGTTGAGAGATGACCAGATTATTATTATATATTATAAAAGTCGTATTTTGTGTGTAAAAGTTTAGGTATATTTAATAAATTAAGCCAGTTCCTGAGGCACAAAAACATTATTTTTAAATAAAATAAAATAACGTTGAAAAAACTACATTTCTTTTGAATCAACAACTGTCTCTTAAAAGCCAAACTAGTGAGACTATTATGAAGAGAAAAAATATTATAGAACATTTTTACCTGTCACTAATGAGGGAGCGTAAAAAAATGTGTTTTTTTTTTTTTTTTAATTACTAACAATCATAACAATACTTGCTCAGCCACTCGACCATCACATCTAAAAAAAACCTCATAATCGCGTAGGGACGTAAAACGTGACATCTGTCCAAGTATAGATAATTTAAAGTCTCAAAGAAACCTGTACCATCGACCTTTTCGCACAATAAATTAAAAAAAAAAAAGTAGTAACAAAAAAATACCCATGAGTCTATATCGTCACCTTCCGAAACATCATCTTCCTAAAACGACGAAAAATACCCAAATATTGTATTCATTACCTATGGTATATACGTGCTGATTTCACGTAAATGTACGTAGGCTTAGAAATACAATACACATTGACACGTAAACGCAAGATAAAGGAACCGAAGAAGAGGCACATCTTTCCTGCGCATCTGGACTGCTCGAGCGATAGTAGGAAGCGTTCGCTATTTTAGTTAAGTTCCTCTCCTCTACGCACGCGAGCGCAACTTCTTTTTGTCGTCGCGCCTTCAACTTCTCTTGTTCTTCTCGACGGAGTGTGTAGATATACCTATTCTGTTCCTTTGAGACACGCGTGCACGCGAGGACTAAGTACGTCTTTTTGAGGATCAGCTGCCGGTGTGGAGGGAATTGTAATCGCGTGACCTGGTTTTTCTCATTTTTCCCTGCATAGTCCAATAGGACAAAGGCATTGAAGATGAGGCCAGGCGGGACATAACTGTCCGTCTCTGCTTCGCTGGATCTTCCTTTTTGTCCTCCAAAAGTGACGATTTTCGTGGAGGTTTTCGTCGTTGGCCAACTTCTGTCGGAGTGTCTCTTTGTACTTGGCTTGTCGACTTCTCTTTTTTTCTCGGCCGAAGTTGGAAGTTGGCACCATGTGACCATGGTACTGGCGTCTATTTTTATAAAAGCCGGGTTAACGGGTTTCGTTTGTCTTATTTTAGGTGAAGCGCGGGGTGAAGCGTGTGTGAGGGATAAGTTGAGGAACGGATTATTCAAAGCGCCTAGAGCAGCAAACATCGACCCAACAAATCTAAGAATAAAACTGTTTTGTGCTCTAAAATCTTATGATTTTGAAATACGAGTCCTCGTATTCTTTTCTTTCACGTATTCAATAATTAACACGTAGAGTGCAATTTTGCTGTACTCAGTTCAAAAAATTTACGAAGAACGTAGTAAAATTATAAAGAATGTTCATTTAAACTGTGTAGGATTATTTCCGTATGTGTAAAAATAAAACAAAAATATATTTTACTGAAAGGTAACACGTTCTAAAAATATTAATAAAAAGTTGGTTAGTTGGAAGGAGAAACACAGTAAAGCAGTTTAACTAATTAAATACTATTATTTAATGTAACTACAGTTCATAATTTTAAAAAATAAAAACTGAACGTCAACGAATGTTTAATACTTATTTGATAAATTCATCATCAAATCACTGTCGTTTCTATCAAAAGTTTAAAAGATATCTTGTAATTATTTCTAAAATTCCCTACATAAAAATTAATGTGAATAATGTTAATAACACTTTTTGATTATTGTCCAACGATTTTCTTTTAATTTAATGATAGATAACTCCTAACTTGGGGAGAACACTGTATTTTTGAGTATTTTACGTAATAACATTTTATTATTTGACAATGAAAAATTAGTGTCCCGCATAATTATTAACAAATCTGAAAAAATTTTTANACGATAGCGTTTATTTATTATTCTACAGAGTTATTTCGAAGCCGTGCATTTTTTATCTAATAAGTTGAACTGTATGATTGGTATGGTTCATATGTTTCTTTTAAATCTCAAAGATCTGTCCACTATTCGAGTGGACACACAAAAATTGAAAACAAAATGGCGACCGGCGGTGTCCATGATTGTTTCGTGATAAGGTGATCCCTAACAGCTCTCGGTTTTGCGTCAGCAATCGTAAGTATTAATATATATATATGTATGTGTGAGTGTGAAATCTATTAGAATATTTGTAGTAATAAATGTATGTGATTATAAATAAATAATAGTAAAGCTCCCTATCTTCATCTCATTGTTATTATTATTTCAATTTCGGACTGAATTGGTGGATCAATCAAATACTTGTTCAACATGTCAAGTACTTACTTGAGCATCACAGAGAGTTTTTTTTCAAACGAAATTGTAAGTACCTATTTTTATTTCAAAAAATTTTCATAATAATTTTCAAATTTAACAATAAATTACGAAAAAAACGCTATGCTGTTGACTAATTTTAATCAGCATTTATCTCTTTGTGGTTAACAAATGTTTTTCACTCCACTTATTTTCACCATTATTTTCTGGTCAAACGTAACATTACATTAAAAATGCAAAATAATCTGTTTTTCTAATGTTATTTAATTTTCGATTTCAAATCCTAAAATAATTTTGTTTTTAATTTAATTATAATTAAACCAATATTAACTCATCATTAGATTACAATCTTTGTACATACCTATCAAACTGTAGTGTTTGAATTTTTTTCCTGATTTCAGCTGCAGTATCAACGCTCATTTTAACTGACTCTTTGTAATTGTAGGTAAAATTTTCAAAATTTTCCGTCATAATCGCCTCTACGAGTTTGGCCACTGTATCCGGCCTAAATACATTTTTAGAGTCAAGTCTATAACTATTCTGGTATTTAACCATCTGCATCTAATAAAAAGTTTTAAAAAGTTATTATAAACAATAATACTGTCAAATGGTATCGTTGCCATAACTATATTAGAAATTTTGAGAATCACTGATCTTATGTATTAAACTTTAATGGAGATGTGCAGATAACTTCTGATTAGATTTAATATGCATGAAATTTTTGTGCCTCAGGAAGTTGTCACGACAATAAAGATTTTCAAAGAGCATTATATAATGCAAGAGAAACTGTTGAATTTCGTGACACATCAAGAAACACACGAGGCTCTTTGAAAATTAAAAAAAAAATGCGTTATATATTTTTTTTACTATGCGTAGTTTCTTTTCGTTTTTTCAGTATTGTCATCTGAATATAGTAAAATGAAGCATTAAATTTAATAAAGTAAATAGTCTATAAACATTCTATTAACCTTCCCTTGACATGGTCTGTCAAGATAATAATTATTTGGCCCTTCTAGCGTGCAAAATTTTACTTTTTTACTTGCTTGCAATATCTATCTTTTATTGACGTCTTACTTTAAAATTAATTAATTTTCAAAACGCCCAATAGACTAAGTTATTTCGTAATAAAAGTTTCATTACGATTATTAAAATTCATGGATTTTACAGAATCATGTCACAAACCATTTTCATTTTATTACAAGGAGATAAGTAATATTAATATATTTAATTTATTTATTCTTACTATATTATCTCATTATTGTCTCTTGTCATGCATGTGCATGTTCTCAAACTTGACTTAAATCTATGGATGTATATGCTCATTGTTTTACCCACCTGGTTGTTCTCACCACTTGTTTTGTCAATGATTTCAATATGCGTCGGCATAATTCACTTTTACGCATTTAGTATTTGCAATTAAAATGGATTTATGCAGAGTTTGCTTCCGTTCGAGTAACACCTGCCCACCGCAAAGGCATAGACACTATATACTATTTGCGTTTCCTAGTAACCGCGATTTGATGGATCAATTTTACTTCTTGGTCTTAGTGGTATTGCTCGAGCGTAATTTTTAAGATCTGCTTCAATGATTTTAAAAAATACTTGAAAAATCTTATTTCATGACTGAAAATAATAATGTAAACTTTTTATTCTTACGAAAACAATTAGAAAATTTTTTGAGCAAAGCAAAAATGTTATACAACCGTCGCAAGTACTCCATTATTTAAATATTATATTTTGATGAAGTAGAAAATCCAATAGTAGATGTTCAAATATTCTAAAAAATTATTTCCACGAAAGAATTAACTAAACAATTGAAATCGATTTCCACGGAAAGAAAGAAAAACATGGGCGTTTGCACCCACAACCCTATACTCTCCAATTGGTGCTTATTATTAGAGCGTTTATTCCCGTCAGCACAAAAAATTGAGCACCGCACGGTGAAAAGTAAAATCGATATCGATCCGTTCAACAAAACGTCTGCAGCTGCTGCATATGTATACACATTCCGTTCCTCTCCTCCTCTTCCCGATCCACAAATTCGTACTCTGTATACAACCAAAACGCACGCGTCAGTTGTAAACACACACGCGGGTACATGCACAATTTTGTAATCTATATACTGCCGACTCATCGGGTATAAGCTGTATAATTAAGCTCGCCGCTCTTTTTTTTTTTTTTTCTTTTTTGTACAGGGTTGAGCGATCGGTTGCTCCAAAAGGTGGCTGAAAACATGCCTACCCCCATGGTGGTGGCACCCCTTGGTGGACACCACTATGTATATAGTTGCGCGTGTCAAAGCGGCGCGTGTACCTCTTTTTTGGGAATACCATCCAGGTGGAACATCGGTACGTTACAATTAAGTCGAGCGATCACTCGGCTGTCTAATTTGCGCCGATTTCTTGGACGCCCATTCCGTTTCAAGGGGTCAGAGAGAAAGAGAGATGAATAAGATTGTACGTGTATGAGTTTGTTTTCTTTTTCACATTTTATCACGTAACTCTTTTTCTTGTATTTTTTTCATATAAATTTCATATTTATATTGTAAACTTATTCGCGTGAAATTATTAAGATTTTTTTAATTTAAATATTTAGTCTTGATATTAATGGTAAGTGTGATTCCATGTGAAAGAAGATAATTCTCGTATGACTCTGGGCAAAAAAGTGGTACAATTTATGGAAAACATGTTATACATTTATCCCGGATGTTTAGATACAACTATCTTTTCTATATTGGAGGAGCATTTCTGATTAAATTTCACAAACAGGTTAAATTTATTAAACACTTCATGAATACCAAATGCAACTTATTGATATATCTTTCAAAATGCTTTGATTTTTAAGATTGTTTGCGATGATAGTAAATCTTTTAAATTAGTCATCAATACTTATACGTATCAAAAGTGATTACATAAAAATATGTTTGAATTTTCAAAAACATTTTGTATTTCAAGTAAGATTTAAGAAATTCAAAAACGTTTATATTAATTGTACATTAAATGTAGATATAAAAAAAAATCAATAAAAATTTTTAATTTAAATTTAAAATACATTTTAAATGTGCTTTAGAATTACAAACTTTTCTAGCAATGTATATATGCACAATTTAAATTAATTTTAATTACTTATTTCTATCACGAAATTTCGTGGCATGACTTTTATGCCTTTTACCCAAGCAGTACAATATTATTTCACACTCATGGAAAATCAAAAATTTGTCATTTAAATGATGCATAGTTAACAACTGTGTGAAAATTTACAGTCGTTTTCCGACATTAAATTTGTCCCATGATAAATGTTTTAAAATAACGAGAACAACCAACCTATAAAATGATTATACGGTCGCACGAGGCGTGGCGACGAGGCGTGCTGTATAAAACTGCTTACGTCGGTTGCAAATGATACAAGTTACGATGTAAATAATAAGCGGGAAAACTTCGTGAATCACAATAGTGGCGTGACTACCATAGTCGTCCGTACTTATAGTGTGAAGCAAACAGTAAAACCGACGTTTGTACTTACTTAAAATAAAAGCGACACTAAGTGTTTTTGACCCTCGTTATTTCTATACCCGATAACGCAAACTTTTCGAAAAGTTGAATGATGTACAAGTAGTGTACAACTGTGTATACTTTTTTTTGTCATCATTGGACTCTGCCGCCATTGTTATCAACCTCATCCAACAACTTACGCACAGCGAATTCGGGTACCGTTGCACTGTGATTATACTTGTATATTGAAGCACAGCTAAAGGTAGAGTCAATTTTGAGTTGGATTCTTTGTTTTGCTGCCACTGACAAAATTTAATTTTCAACTCCAATAATATCGTAAATTTCGATGTTAACTGCAGCGTTCGCGTGCACTCATGAATTTACATCACGTTGGAGTGCTACGATAGCGTTTATTTATTATTCTACAGAGTTATTTCGAAGCCGTGCATTTTTTATCTAATAAGTTGAACTGTATGATTGGTATGGTTCATATGTTTCTTTTAAATCTCAAAGATCTGTCCACTATTCGAGTGGACACACAAAAATTGAAAACAAAATGGCGACCGGCGGTGTCCATGATTGTTTCGTGATAAGGTGATCCCTAACAGCTCTCGGTTTTGCGTCAGCAATCGTAAGTATTAATATATATATATGTATGTGTGAGTGTGAAATCTATTAGAATATTTGTAGTAATAAATGTATGTGATTATAAATAAATAATAGTAAAGCTCCCTATCTTCATCTCATTGTTATTATTATTTCAATTTCGGACTGAATTGGTGGATCAATCAAATACTTGTTCAACATGTCAAGTACTTACTTGAGCATCACAGAGAGTTTTTTTTCAAACGAAATTGTAAGTACCTATTTTTATTTCAAAAAATTTTCATAATAATTTTCAAATTTAACAATAAATTACGAAAAAAACGCTATGCTGTTGACTAATTTTAATCAGCATTTATCTCTTTGTGGTTAACAAATGTTTTTCACTCCACTTATTTTCACCATTATTTTCTGGTCAAACGTAACATTACATTAAAAATGCAAAATAATCTGTTTTTCTAATGTTATTTAATTTTCGATTTCAAAACTTAAAGCATTATACGAAAAAAAGAAAAGAAAAAGAAAACAAAAATACAAATTAAGAAACAACTTTATTTTCTTTTTTTTGCTCAGAATAAGCCATAGCTTTCAATGGGTAAAAAATCTCACTTTATGGTTTATCAACGAATTACCAACAGGTCTACTCTCTTCAAATGTTAGAGAATTTTTAATAAATTTTATACTCATAATTTTACTTATCTTTAGACATTTAAAAACTTCAAGGTATTAAAAAGTTAAAGATTCACGACACATACAATGGTTATTGCCGTTGTTAGTTTTAACATTAAAATTTTTGAAAAATATTTTAATTGTTTTGCATATACTGAAGTAACAAAAGAAAATTCGAGCATTCAAATAGAAAAAATAAAGTAGGACTAATAGGTTATTTACTAATTTGCGATATTATTTTTTATTGTTAATAAACTTCACGGTCGCAATAATTATAGATTTTCACTCTACTAACGTTGTTATTAAAAAAATTATACTTTTCGTTTCAGAGTTTTGTGTAGAGTACATGTTTTAGATATTACATATAATTCAATAGGTACTTAAAGTCTGACAATCTTGTTATATAAAATTTTTAAATTGTTACATTATAATTCAAAAATTTCACTTTTTAAGAAAGTTTTGAAATTTTTTGCAACAAACAAAGTTTGTCGATTTTTTGATGTGTAAAAAATAGTTTTTGTGAGAAGGAAGGTGCAACAAAAATAAACACACCAAAAACGTACCAGTAATTTAAAAAAGAATTTTAATAGCATATTCGTTTGATTTATAAATCCTAATTTAGTATTGACTAGAAAATTATTATCCTTAACCATAAACACATTACAATAGTTATAAAATTAGGAACTTTTGAGCAAACACTCTCTATCGAAGTTTTGTACAAACATACGATACGCGATAGCTCACATTCCATATGAATATAAATGTATAAATGGTTAAAATTAATTAGTCTTTGGAGGCGCTGCACAAGTCGGTCCCAATGATATACATCCCGGACTCGACACTTTCAGGCTTCCGGTGAATGCGCACATACATACATATCTCACTACATAAGTCTCTCATTTTATCGCGTACAGTCTGTGACTGCCGTTCACTCGAGCTTATTTGTTAGTGCAATGATTTCGCTGGTAATTCTTGAGCTGTCGATTACGGCAAAAGGATAACTCTCATCTTGCCAGAATCGAAGCCATACGATAATTATCGCTCGAGTTCGTGATTTTGATTCGATGATAAGTGCACGAGATGACTTTTTTACAAAAAGCCTTTAAAGCGCGTGACTATAACAATGATTCGCTGATACATGATTTTGTTACATTCGATTGTCTAGTCGGAACATAGTGAGCACTGCTACACGTTAAAAGAAAAATCAAATAAAACGTTGTATAATTATTGTAAAAAGAAGAAAAATATTAGTAACTTGTATGATTTGATTATTTGAATGGTCGTTAAAACAGTACGCGCATATATTTCCAGAAAATCTTCCAGTAACAAAAAAAAAGTATAATAAAAATTATGTGCAACAAACGTTAGTGAAAGGATTTCCTGGAAACATATTTTTAATCCTACACCCCATCGGCTTTTCACAAATATAGTGTCAAAATTTTCATTAATCACTATTTTTTACATAGGATTACAGTACACATCTTTCAACTTACACTTAAATTACTTATTCATAAATAAAAAAAAAAAAAAAAAAAAAAAAAAAAAAAAAAAAGAATAAAGGTATAATAATAATCATTTTTCAAGCGATTTTCTACACAAGACTTTAAATGCACATTGATTTTATCGCTCGGACACAGCGATTCGCTCATAGCTCTCACATTAACGATAACTCCAATTACGTTTCTCTTCCTTTCTCTCTCTTTTTTTCCACAACCGTAGGTAATAAATACACTTCGCATAGTTCATCGCGCAAAAGCACATTTCAAATCGACCTGTCGAATTTCGAAGCTTGTAGCGATTTCGTCGATGGCTGAAGTAGCATTTTGTCCATTAGGTGTTGCTGCGATGTCGGGGGCTGCTGGTTGTGTTTGATTTCCGTGAGTGCGCTCGAGCTGAATTTCTTTGCGGGACTGTTCTTTGTCGATCGCAGGTAATCTGTAAGAATAAGGAAAATATGTCAGAGTTAGTATGATACTTATTTCATTGGTTTTTGGCTATTTTATGTCTCATCGAGTGTTGTGATTTTTTTTTTTTTTTTTTTTTTTTTTTTTTTTTTTTTTTGTGGGCAACTGTTTTTAAGCTAATTGAAAAAAAATCTTTTTTTTTTAAATATATGTAACATGTCAATCAACAGATATTGTGGGCTACCCCAGTTTAGAAATAACTAAACAACTATAGTGTTTTCAAGGTCTCGTTAAAATCCATAATTTATCATGACTTCGAGCAATCGACTACAGAGGTGAAATAATTTTTTCAATAAAAGCTTCAAGTTTTTTTTCCGTTCTTCGTATTAAATTACCGAAAATGACAACAAAAGTATTGAACTGAAAAATTAAAGGCAACTTTTTCGAAGAAAAATAACTTTTGTTATATTATACCTGATATTTTTTATTCAAGTTAACTTTTACAACCATTAGTTAGCTATAAAATATCGCAAACGATTTGTTTGTTAAAAATAGTGGTAAATATTTAAACGAAACTATTACAATACTTTCTTTATTATGATCATGTAACTAAAATTTAATTCTATGTGAGACCCTTAAAAAATGTAATTTTTCAAAACAATTGAAACGTTTTTGTTTAACAGCAATAGAAAACAACGAATATCTTGCACTTAACCAATCGTGCTGATCGCCAAGTGCCGAAAAAAATTATCTCAGCATCCCTTGATCCAGCCTTGATTAATTTTTATATTCCACATGAAAAACCCACTAAAAAAAGCTTCGGACGACCCCGATCAACTCCAAATAATCACCAAAAATTTATTTTCCAAAAAGCCCTTCCGTAAGTATACCAATACCCGGGGACGAAACTTCTCCAACTCGGCCAGAACCTCATCTCCCTTATCATATCACCCCTTCTCTCCCAGCCTAACAACCTCCACGTGCCGGTCTCGAGAAAAAAATATATCCAGCAGCCATCTAAGTAAGTAGTTCTGCACCATCGTCGGGCAGCTCCTATATTTAGCCTTCGGCTTTCATTCTCGCTCTTCTTACAAGCGCTACATTATACTTGTGTACCAGACGACAGGTGTGCGCTCGCTCGGATCGCCATACCGGTCTCTCTCTCTCGCTCACTCGTTCGCCTCTCATTTTGCCAGAGTGGATGTGTACAGATTTTTCGTCTCTCTCTCTCTCTTTTTCTCTTTTTCTCTGCAGTACAAACATGCGTGTGTGTGTGTATACGCAGGTCAAAAAAAGTAGTCGCTTAGTCGTCCTATTATAACTAACCGATTTTTTTTTTTTTTTTTCTTTTTTATCTCTTTTTTGTCCTTTAGAGGAGAGAAGGAGTATACAAGGCACGTGGATTTTGCTTGTCTTGGCTTTTGGTGTATTATGGCAGAGAGCCCTCGGGGAGGTGGGAAAGAGAGAAGGATCGCAGGGAGCAGGTGTGCAGCATCGGTTAAATTTCGGCGGGTGTACCTTTACTGATGAGAAAAAAAAAATAATAATAAAAAAAAAATTGCATCTCCACTTTTTTTTTTTTTTTTTTGACGATGGTGTTTCGTATTTTGGGCGGTTTGCAAGTTTTCGTCGTATTTATTAATATAAATCCGTGCGTCTTTGTAAATTAAATGTTTTTTCATAAATTGGGGATGTCTTTTTTTTTCATTTTTGTATTAGTCGCGTGGTAAAACGTGTTTTTTCATCGAGTTTTTCACGACAGCGTTGAACATGCACAAAGAGATACAACAACGATTGCAGTTAAGAGTCATATTCATTCAGGTCCCCAAAACAAAAAATTTTCAATTTTGCGATACCATGTAACAAAAAAAAAGTACTCAAGAGACATATCAAGGGTATGCACAAATATTTTTTTTTTTAAATAATAAGTGTATTTATTCGTATATCGTGTGTATCCAATATTCTAAATATTCTACCACAAGAGTATAACACACAATCGATGGACTATGCTATCTTTCTTTTATCTCCATACCCCCGCACCTTCGCAAAACGTGTCGTCTCCTTCCTCTACGTGTACACACAGGGTAGGACAGCACGATAGAAAAAATACCCCAAAGCTCCAACGGTCGCTACCATATGGTCCTTAGCCTTGGAGTCTCGGGTGTGTTGTACGTATAACATATACACACGTGTATATTATGAAAATCGAAGGAAACGAGAGAAAGGGCACGTGTTAATGCGCTCAACAATAATGGGCAGCGTGAGAAAGTTTGCGCGTGTGCGAGAAAATCGTGAGGGTGAGCGTTGAATACTCCATAGGTTGTGCTTTTCAAACATACAGGGATAAAAGAGGGGGGGGGGGGCGACAACAGTAGGTGGGTTTTTGAAATTTTCCAGGATTGGTAAAAGTGTACGGAAGATAGGAGTATAAGTACGGTCGGATGTTTGAGGGAAATATGAGATTCGATGAGGTTTCGATACGACGACGGGTACGGGCTCTCGTTTGCCATATGCTGTAACTTTCTGATTGGTATGTTACTCGTCGAGAGGTGTCTCGTGGAGGTGGGCCAACCTTTTTTTGTTTAAACTGATGTCGTTTTTGTGGACGTAGCTTGTTTTTTGATTTGTGTACCATATACTTCCAAATGTTTGTTGTTTCACGAAATGTATATCTATTCAGCTTTTGGCCCCTAAACCGTTTTGTTTGTAACCCAACACTAAGTTTTACAATTACAATTATTTCTAAGTAAAAAAAAAAAAAATTTATTTTTAACACAGGTCAACTTCCTAGCTTTAGGAACGGTGTGGTGCACATTTTGTCACTATTTTGTTACCAAAATTTGATCCAAAGGTGAGAGCCAAGGAAATTTCAATTTGAGAAGATACGAGAAGTAAAAATGTATAATACTTCAATACTTTAGATTAAATTTTTAACTGTAAAAAAATTTAATTATTATATTTTTAACGAAGTGCTCGAAAACAATTTTCCTAATAAAAATAAAGCATTTAATTTTTACGGAGAAAAAATTTTCGGGAAATATACTCGGAGTATATACGTGCAGTTACGAGACTCGCACTAGTACTATGCCACCTACGAATATTAATAACTTATGATTTCAATCTACATGGAATAGCTTATGTATGTATGTATCTACTGTGTGTTTCAAGACAGACAATATTTAATTATGTTGTTTGTTAAACATGTCGTTCTGCTCTCAGTTGTTTCCATGATGACTTGAGGGTCAGTGCCTAAGCACACGATCAGTAAGAGCTAATTTGGGAGTACGCATGAAAACTCCAAAAAATCAGGTGTTAGTTTGAGCAACATTGTCAGTATTTAATGGTTTTTCTGAAAGAATTACAATTAACTTTTACCTCAAAGTTTTTTTTTTATCAATAATGTAATTATTTTACAATTACTTGGCACATCAATACATCATTAAATTAAATTGTTAATCAACGTAACTTATTAAGAGTTACATTTCTCTTGTCATTGTTTGATGGCAAAAATAAATATTTTCGAACCTTGGGAGCAACGAACGTAAAAGGGAAAAACCCCCGAAGGAAAAAAAAAAAGAAGAAATGACAAAGAGAGAACGAGAAAAGCGCGCGCACTTTACGACTCACGGAGCTTTTTATTGTGTCTATACCTACAAGGCAACGTTCGTGTTTTCAAAATAATAAAAGGGAGAGGGAAGATTTTCTTTGTCACCGCGTCTCCCGGTTTTCTCTCCCTCGCTCCCTCTGGGCCTTAGGATCCTTTTTCCTCGCAACCGTATTCGTGTATACAATGCACTGGAGGAAAAAAAAAAAATTCAGATGGGAGAGGCAGACGTGTCTTTTCTTCGTGTACAGTGCAGCTCTTTCGGATCCCCCACCTGCTTAAGGTATATGTATAAATGCGAATGTGCAAGTTTTTTTGGCGGGAAAGCCGCGAGGGTTTGTACCTACCTACATACAACATACCTGCTGATAGAGACGTGTGTGCGCGTTTCGGTTGAGGTTTCTTTGTTTCTTTGTTGCGAAGGAATAGGCAAGTACTCGCTTGAGGGGCGGAAAATATGATCGCCAGAGAGGGAAAGACGGACGCGAATTTTCCTTTGTGACTCCGTACGACACGCGCTTCTTTGCTTTACGCCGTTGAAACTGTTTGGTCTTTGTTTCGTATTTACGTCCTGTGCGCAGTTCGAGGGTTAAAATTTATTGTGTTGCACTGCAACGGTTTATTTTTTAATAGGCTGCTATTAAAGATTATTATTATTATTATTATTATTTAGTGAGTAAGAAATTAGGCATCTTTTTTAAATTAAAAATTTTTATGGCATTAATTTTTTAGCTACTCCCACCTCTGAACCCCTTAATCCAATCCCGCTTAATTTTCAATAAATTTCGATTGCATACATTTTTTTAACTGCTTCAAACTATTTGTTGGGATAGAGAGCAACATAAAATTTCTATAAACTTTACAGGCATTAATTATTCAGCCATTTTCGTCTTCTAAATCGCTTGACTATAGTCCCAAAACTCAAAAAGCCCAAACCTAATTTTTTATAAACTTAAATTGCACAGTCATCTTTAATTGATTAAAAATATTTATTTGAATAAGAACAGTGTGAATTTCTTGCTTATTTATTTAAAATCTGCAAAAACTTTTGTTTTTTAGTAAAAAAAATATTTTTGGTTCTCTATTGAAAAACTTTGGTTTTTTTCGTTAAAAAAAAATAAAATGGAAAAAATCGGCTTGTAAAAGCTTCAAAATCGACAATGCAGACAAAAAAAAACACATCACCGACCACCACAGTGCACAACCACAGAGACCAATAAAATATATAAATCTGCACCCAATGATCGGCTAATCATCGTAAAAAGCCCAGGAGTCCCGTGCATTTCCTCCCTTGTACTATTGGAGTTTTCACACGCGAACATAACAAACAAAGCAGGCGAAAATCCGCATCTACTCGGAAAAAGGAGGAACGTGACGAGGACTCGTAAAACCAGTCGTAAAAACCTTAAGTCTCATTTTTGTAAGCT